AATATTCCAGTGATATTAATAAGATAATTTATAAAATTCTAACAAAATTTCAATTTTTTTTTATTGATTTATTTGTTTAATTAAATATTCAAAATAAACAACATTTTAGAATTTTCTAAATTACAGGAATATTGTCTCAATATCACAGGGATATTCCCTTAATATCCCAAGAATATTTTCTTAATATTGCGTGAATTTCACGGGAATATTCCCTCAGTACCATACAAATATCACGCGAATTTCACAAGAATATCACCGTAGAATGTCCCCATGAAGCGGACATTATGATATCGCCTGAATGTCACAACAATATTCCCGCTTGATATCACCTTGACATTCAAGCAATATTCCGTGCTCCTTGGGTTGTAGATTTAATATGAAGAAATTTTTTGTAAATTTCTAATATTAAATTTTTTGAAAAAAAAGAAGTGAATAAAGATATGGTTAATGCACACGAGCAACGTAGTCGGCCGCTTGCGGACGACAAAGTTGCTAGTATTGTTATAAAATTCAAATTTTGGCACTTTTTTTTTGAAAATTAAACATTTTTAAAAATTTTTTTTTAAGTTCGGTCCTCTTTAGTTTTTTTATTTATTTTTTTTTTGAAAGCTAAAATCATGTATTTTCACCACCAAAAATATTGAGATGTCCTTTTTTGTTATTTTCGAGATGTTAATTAATTAATTAATTAATTAATGTTAATAAAAAATGAAATATTTCACAAATAAATAAAGTTATTAAAATCCTGAAGGTACCAATTGAAAACTGACGTTATTCCGCATCCAACGAGACCTATATGGACTATTTTGGATTAGAGGATTTTTTATAAACAATTGCCATGTTAGCCAATTGTTTATTAACAATCCACTTACCCAAAGTACTTCATATAGGGCTCGTTGGATGCGGAATTATGTCAACTTTCATTTAGTAACGTAAGAATTACGATAACTTTATTTGTTTGTAAAATATATCATTTTTTATTAACCTTAATAGTTAATTAATTAACTCGCCTCGACGCGCGCGCCGACATAAAATATTTGACATTTAATGTCTCGAAAACAAAAAAAATTGGCATTCTGAAAATTTATATACAAATCGAAAAAAACCTCAGCTTTCGTTTGCAATTATTTATTTAAAAAAAATCCCATCGATTTTAGTGAAAATAACAAATTTATGTTTAATTATAAAAAATCAAGGTCAAAATAGAAAAATTTTTAAAAATGAAATTCACCATTGGAAAGAGCATGAAAAAACCTTCAAAAAACATATCTGCCAAATTTTTTTATATTGCATTTATATACAGAAAAAATTCAAATAGTAGGCGGTGTCAAATTGACCCCCCTCTATCTCCCCTAAAATTTCAAAAAAAGTCAAAAATTTTTCTGGGGATACTTTACTATCAGGTAGGACAACAATTTTCCCAAGTTTCACTTTTTTTCGAGAAATCAATTTTTTAACTTTAGACATTACATGTAAAATGCCTCATATATATATATATATACAATATTTATTTATTATTTTATATATGTGGGTAGGTATATAATTCGAAGGAATAAAAAAGTGGGTAATATTAAAAATATATTATTCATACAATTGGAAATTAATAACAATTTACCGCAAACGATATTTCATAATTTCAAACGTATTATACCAAAATTTTTTAAGGTCTCATTAACATGTACTTAAAATCTAAAATTTTTGGAATCTTCAAGATTTTTTTCTAAAATTATTTTACGTTGTCAAATAATGAATTTTATTAATGTTATGTTACATTTTTATTTGTTTTAACAATTAATTATTAATAATTTATAACATTTCCAAATACACATAGACAGAAGCATTTTTTGTCAACTTTTCGTTGCAGCTATTATTTCTAAATTTCTAAATGAAATAGAGATATTAGAAATTAAATTAGCATGAAGATTTTACATGAATTAACTATTTTAAAATTGTTTAAATAAATAATTGTTATTGTGCTTAGCTCGAAAAATTGCAAAATAACAAGACAACTGCATTTCTCATGGCGTATCAAGCAAAATGTTAGTAAATATCAAAACTCTCGTAGATTTTGCAATATTAACAAGGTCTAACCCACCCTGGCTGTAATCTCCGGCAAAGGTTAATATACATATGAATTTGGTACTGCACACAAATATTCTCTCTTGTCCTTCATCATGTGGACACATACTTTTAAAATTTCAGACGTAAAAATAGCTGAATTTTCACTATCCTCTGCTACAATGGTTTGCATAGCGGTATAACTTTTTTCAAAAGAACGAGCCGTATGAATTTTTTTCTACTATTGCAATTTCGCTTTTTGTACATGAATCTAGGATAAAAAACATAATTTTTACATATGAAAAATCAGTTAATTGTGCGAAAGTGTTGTCTGATCTTATTTTACTCTTTTTTGATGACATAAATAAACATCCGTTTTTTACTATTTTGTGAAATGCAAGAGCCTTTTCAGATAATAATAATTCTCTTGCCAACGTTTGATCAACAGAACATCCACATCCAAAGTATCTAGTTGTATAAGTCTGTGTTGTTTTTTGAACCATTGTTGTACCTATTCTATCATAAAATTGTTTAACAGTGTATGAACAATGAGGATAAATACGATCTCTTAAACTGAGCATACTATATCTAAGTCTTATACGTCGACATACCTGATTATGTACACCATTTGCCGCATGAATAACCTTTAACAACTGTCCATTACCGGATTCAAATGCATATGCGTTATGAGACCAAAGTGGACCTCAATCGAAGACGCTTTTTGCTAAGTGCAACAGTAAGGGCATGTTAAACGTCATCGCAACTTTGGAATAAAGTTTTTCCGTTTCATCAACAAACTCATGTAAGAGTTGATCAGCGAAATCGACATCGCGACCTAGAATGTCTTCTTTTAGTAGTAAGTAGAGGGCTTTAACGAATAACATCCAATGGAAAAAGAAATTTTGTGGTAATACATTATTCAAAATTGTAGAACTGAAATATAGTATCCAATTTTCCCATTCCCTTGATTTCCAAAATGACATTTCTAAAAATGGATGTTTCAATCGAATAATTTGATGAGGAAGTTGAAAATTAATCAGTAAGTTTTCAATGTCTTAAATGACGGACTTTGAAAACAATCCAGACTTTTTGGCATTGCCAAACCATTTTGTTGCAAATTGTTTAGCGATGCCTGAACAACAGTGCATACTATCTACAACCATACCGTAAATAAAATGAAAACTGATTAGATTTATAAGATAAGAAGGTCCTTTAATGCCAAAAACGGGAGCTTTCGTTTTCGCTGCTTTTTCCATATATTTTTCAGTTTGCTTAACAGTTCTATTCATTGGCATGTTTTTTTGCAAAGGATATTTAATGTTTCCAGAGCGTGGATTACAAGGACAAGATTTTACTGATTCCCCTGGTTGTAGGCATTGGCTACAGCCATATTTTCCATTAAACTGCACAAATCCTTGCATTGGTGCACGTGCGACGGAATCGACGCAGCACACCAATGGAGAAATTTTAATGGATAAATCAGCACCATTTATTTTACACGATATTCCTTCTGTGAAAAGGTTGTTCATATTTTCTACGAAAGGTCCAAGAAAGACGTTCATATCTGGCTTGTCTTTACCAAACCACAATCCCACTACTATTAATTCTTTTGTTCGTACATTGTAAGGCAATTCATTTACCATCAAATATATAGGCCAAATCGAGTAACTTGAAGTGGCAAAAAGTGGTGCACCGTCAGTATTAAAAGTGACACTAGCATAAGCATGTCTATCGTATTCACTCAATTTTTTAACAAAATCTCGATAACGCTTTCCATTATAAATATCTCGAATGCGACCTTTTTCATGCACGCTTTCATTGACAACATAATTGTAGTAACTACTATTTGATTCTAGTAATTTGGAAATTGGTAAACTAGCATCTATAGTGACAAAAAATCTTTATATTTATAAATGTCTGCTTGAACATTAGACTTACACAAGCCACACTTTACAAATTTATCTTTACGTTTAAATTTTTTAACGTACACACCGCACTGTGTACATATGGCATGAAGTTGCATACAATCTTTAGGATGAAATAACTTGACACCGGTCACTGTAGAGGGAGTAACCGGGCAACGGCCAAATCTATTTTGCTTCATAACCAATGGGGAGTTTTCAAAGGTACAGCGAAATAGTGGCGAAGTAACTTTAAATTCATTAAAGTTGGGTAAAAAAAAGAGATGAGCGATTGTTTGATTGGTTAATTTTAAAAAAGAGAAAGTAGTTTGTACTCCAATATCGAGAGGAAACCAACTCGATACCGTGTGTGTGTAGTAGTTCCGAGAGGAAACCAGCTCGGTATTATGTGTAATATACTGATATTTAGAGGAAACCAGCTCAATATTTTTGGTCCAGTGCATCGACTTTTCCAAAAACGGCAAAGTGGGAGAATTTTAGAGGTAGGGCAAAAATCAACGTTTGCGTTTCTTACTCTCGACGCAATCCGAATGCGCGTACGGTTCACGCGTTTCGCTTGAGCCAAGGGTCAGGGCGCTTCCAGAATACGTGCAATTTGTCTTGCCGAGCATTTTGCGCTTGCTTTCTGCGCGCGCACCTGTTTTGGTCCACTCGGTCCACTCATTCCTGTTTTTTAATAGTTTTATAAAATATTTAAACTTTAATATAAAGTTTTATTTCCGTTCTAATATAAATAATTTTGTTACACCTAGAAATATAGAAATTATACGATTCTTAATTTTTATTTATTATATTCATTATAATTATTATTCATTATTAATCAGTTAATTTAAAAAATAAGCAATTATAATTTTTAAAAATATTTATTTGTAACTGATTTTGTAAAAAATTAAATAAAAAATGTTAACGAATAGTATTTTATAAAATTTTTTAATAATGCAAATTTTTAAATTCTTTACAAAAATAAGGAAACTTATTTTACATTTTTAAACATAAAATAAGAAATATCGAAGCCTTAACTGAAATGTGAGCAATAAAAAGTCGAAACATAGTTTTTTGAATAATAGAATAACAATTTTTCAATAAAAAAGTAAGTTTTACATCAGAAATTTAATAATACTCATTTAATAACTACATAGGACCTCTCAAATTGGACTAGCTTTTAAAAGCTTTTTAAATTTAATAATATAATTTTTCTATTTTTAAAACAAACTTTGTCAAAAGCTAATAACCATCATTTTTTCTTATGTTTTTCATAAAAACATGGCATAGAAATAATGATATCGATTTGAGAGGTCATATTTTTTTTTAAATTTATAGAAACAAGGACGATTTAACTTACATCGTCAAACGAAAATAAAAAAATTAACCATTTACTTAAAATGCAATCAACTCGTGATAAAAAAATTTTTTACGAATAATTACCAAAATTAAATGCATAATAAATTTAATTCAAGAGCAGCACAGCCAGATTTATTTTAATTTTTCGGAAAATTTATGGGATAATTGCTTTTTTTATCAGGAATTGACTGCATTATATTTTGCAATCTAGTCGAAGCATTGTACTTTTTTCAACCATTAACAATCGACAAACATCTCAATGTAGTCGACACACATTGTTTTTTTTAAATATCAACGAACAATCTTTCTATGAAGAAGTAAGTATTGCAACATAAAGTAAAAAATACTCATTTCATAACTACATAGGACCTCTCAAATTAGACTAGCTTTTGAATACTTTTTGAATTCAATAATATAATTTTTGTATTTATAACACAAATTTTGTCAAAAGCTAATAACCATCATTTTTTCTGTTTTTAATAATAACAAGGCATAGAAATAATGATATCGATTTGAGAGGTCATATTTTTTTTTAAATTTATAGAAACAAGGACGATTTAACTTACATCGTCAAACGAAAATAAATAAAATTAACGATTTACTTAAAATGCAATCAACTCGTGATAAAAAAATTTTTTACGAATAATTACCAAAATTAAATGCATAATAAATTTAATTCAAGAGCAGCACAGCCAGATTTATTTTAATTTTTCGGAAAATTTATGGGATAATTGCTTTTTTTATCAGGAATTGACTGCATTATATTTTGCAATCTAGTCGAAGCATTGTACTTTTTTCAACCATTAACAATCGACAAACATCTCAATGTAGTCGACACACATTGTTTTTTTTAAATATCAACGAACAATCTTTCTATGAAGAAGTAAGTATTGCAACATAAAGTAAAAAATACTCATTTCATAACTACATAGGACCTCTCAAATTAGACTAGCTTTTGAATACTTTTTGAATTCAATAATATAATTTTTGTATTTATAACACAAATTTTGTCAAAAGCTAATAACCATCATTTTTTCTGTTTTTAATAATAACAAGGCATAGAAATAATGATATCGATTTGAGAGGTCATATTTTTTTTTAAATTTATAGAAACAAGGACGATTTAACTTACATCGTCAAACGAAAATAAATAAAATTAACGATTTACTTAAAATGCAATCAACTCGTGATGAAAAAAAATTTTTACGAATAATTACCAAAATTAAATGCATAATAAATTTAAGACAAGAGCAGCACAGCCAGATTTATTTTAATTTTTCTGAAAATTTATGGGATAATTGCTTTTTTTATCAGGAATTGACTGCATTATATTTTGCAATCTAGTCGAAGCATTGTACTTTTTTCTGTCACGGTGGTACCTAAAAATTTAATTTTTTTGTATTGTGCTGAAATTTACTTTTCGTAAATTTTAACACAATACTTTGATAATAAAAATTCAATCGTCAGCATAATGCGATGGGAACGGACTCGGGCCTTATTCTTGGAATGTTATGTGTGCACATATTATTATTACAACTATTTAGAATAAAAATGTAAATCGCAAATATCACCAATGGATATATGTGCATGTACTCTAATATAATTCAAATTTCTACGGGCATTCATAATTAAATATAACCTTAAAAAGTGAGGATCATTATATATATGAAATATAATTGAAAATTTTTAATTCTAATGTTGCGAGTGCGTTAATGAACATTGCGACAGCGTTCCGAATGCGTTGGACGTTGCGGCAATGTTCCCAAACCACAATTGTAAAAGTTAGCAAATGGGAATGTTGCGAATGTGTTAATGAGCATTGCGGCAGCGTTCTGAATGCGTTAAACGTTGCGGCAATGTTCCCTACTTAAAATTAAAGAAAGTAGCGAACGGTAATGTTGTGAATGTTGCGAGTGCGTTAACGAACATTGCGACAGCGCCCCGAGTGCGTTGGACGTTGCGGCAATGTTCCCAAACGAAAATTGTAGAAGTTAGTAAAAGGGAATGTTGCGAATGTGTTAGTGAACATTGCGGCAGCGTTCTGAGCGCATTAAACGTTGCGGCAATGTTCCCCACTTAAAATTGAAGAAAGTAGCGAACGGTAATGTTGCGAATGTCGCGAGTGCGTTAACGAACATTGCAGCAGCACCCTGAATGCATCGAATGCTGCGGCAATGTTCATAATTTAAAATTTAACGGAATTATTGATTGAAGAAGATAATAATGGATACTTTGTTTTGTGAGACACGATATTATCACTTGCGGGTCCAAAAAAAAATGAGTATGGATGTGTACAGGAGCCACACTAGAAATTGGACTTCTCGCGAAAAAAAGGGATATAATAATAATAATAGTTAAAATAAATCTACGCGATGAGCTTTTTCTTGAACGTAATTCTTCAGCTTCCATCCTTTTCTTACTCTACCCCCCCCCACTTTTTTTTTATTACGTATTCTGGGCCTAACAATCCTACATGCTCATAACAACACAACATCAACGTTGTAATTGTTGCAAATAAAAAAAGGGTAAAAATGCCAAAAATCAAATCATTTTCCAACAAGGAAAATTAATAAAATAAATCCAAAAGACAACAAGTCTTTTCAATAATAATTATGCTTGATTTTATCAAGTGCATATTATTATATTTGGCTATACCATTAAAAGAAAATAAAAACTCAGCATTATTGGCATAGTAACAGGCCTAGAGCTCACGCCTTGTTCACGTGTTAAAAACCCTTAGTCCACAAAATTTTCCCACCTGAAGTCTCTAAACGTTCATATAAAAGTGCATCGCGGAAGTCAATTAATGGCAGTACAACTCTCATTCGCGAGTCAGCTCTGAAATTTTTCAGAGGCATAAAAACGATTTTGAGACGCCGGGACTAAGCCCGTCCGTGAGTCGGTTTTTCAATTTTTGCAATCCACTACATAGATAGTGATTAAAATTGGACGGACGAAAAGTTAAAGTTCACGCCGACGAAGTCCAACGGAAGTCGTCTTTAATAAAAATCCAGTAATTTGAATAAAATCAAATTATTGAATTTTTGTCTTTTTGACCGGCCAGTCCGCACGTGTGGTGCCTGCGCTGTTTAGATTCGGTGGACCCGTGAGTGCAATTTTCGTGCGCTACCAATAGACACTTTCGCGCTTTGCTAAGTGTGTGTATTTTTCCGCCCGTCGGAAAGCAGCTCGACGCCTCGCCCTCGTTAGCTTGCGACGGTATAATAAGCAGTAGAGTAAGTTTTTTTTAACATGTATCGTTCCATTTTCTTATCTTATTGTATTATTTCAACCTTTTAAAATCAAAGATTTCTTTTTATAATAAATGTATAAAAGGGTCTTAATTGTTTCATTGTGTCTTAACCCTTAAATTCAATTCCGAATAACGTAACTTGGCAGTTTTCTTCTAAAAAAGGATACACGATCCCATAAAATTAAACGAAATTTTTTTATTTCGGCAGCTTGGTGCCTCCAGGACATAGAAAATAATAATTTTTATAATTAATATTTTTTCGGTTCGTAACAAGCTGATGGTGGCAGCGTTGGGATTTTTCCTTACGTTGCTGTCAGCTACGTTATCGGAACAATTGATTTTCATCAATTGTCACTTTAGAGTTTTTCAAAAAATTTAATTTTGACAAAATTTCACGTCTACTTTTAATTTAACATTCTTATACTTATACCTTACTAACATTTCAAAACTAAAAATCAATCATTCTAATTTATTGAGTGATTGATTTTCTTTTCCTTGTATTGAAAGAAAAGTACATAATGACTTTGTCTTAAAAATAAATTCTGGATTATGGCTCTCCAACTTATGTTGTTGATGATGACGCAATCCTAATTTATGATTCTGGCTCTCCGACCTTGGTCGTTGATGATGACATTATCTGAGACATTGGTTCCGAAAATTCTTTCAATTAAAAGAAAAGAATAGTTAAAGACTTTAATCAACTAATTTCAAACTTCTTTTTGAGAATTGTGTAAGAGAGGATTTTTCCGAGGAAAAACCTTTCAATTTCTAATGCATTCAAGAAGTACATGACGACCTGTTTGAATTGCGAAAAATTGTGATTTTGGCTCTCCGACCTTGGTCGTTGATGATGACTCATTCACAATTTTGATTTTGGCTCTCCGACTATGTCGTTGATGATGACTAATCGAAATTCATAACAGTAACTCTGGAAATTTGTATCTTTTGAAATAAAGACAAAATTCTCATCGAGAAAAACAAAAGAAGTAATATTTTCTTTGACTGTCTTATATTTTCCTCCATTCTTTATACTTTACTTTGAAAATTCAGAAGAGAAAATTTCTCGAAAGGAAAATTTTCAATTTCTTAATGCATTCAAAAAGTACATGACGACCTGTTTGAATTGCGAAAAATTGTGATTTTGGCTCTCCGACCTTGGTCGTTGATGATGACTCATTCACAATTTTGATTTTGGCTCTCCGACTATGTCGTTGATGATGACTAATCGAAATTCATAACAGTAACTCTGGAAATTTGTTTCTTTTCGAAATAAGAAAAAAAAAATCCTCATCGAGAAAAACAGAAAGAAGTGATATTTTCTTTAACTGCCTAATATTCTCCTCCATCTTTATACTTTACTTTGAGAATTCAAAAGAGAAAATTTTCAAAAGGAAAATTTTCAATTTCCTAATGTATTCAAAGATTTAAGTGACGACCTGTTTGAATTGCGAAAAATTGTGAATTTGGCTCTCTGACCTTGGTCATTGATGATGACTCATTCCCAATTTTTGATGCTGGCTCTCCGACTATGTCGTTGATGATGACTAATCAAAATTCATAACAGCGAATCCTAAAAATTTGTTTCATTTTTGAAATAAGAAAAAAATTCTCATTGCAAAAGAAAGAAACCTATTTTCTTCTATACTTAACATGTCTTTAATAGAAATTTTTCTTTTATTTACTTTCGTGTTACTTATCGTCACCTTTTCGCTCTCCCTAATTACGGAATTATTAGGAATCTTATTTCAACTTTTCTGTTTAAGGGCCACTTTACTCTGTTAAAGAAGTAATTGAAAACTATTGATTTTTCATTTCTTTTTTTTTGCTATGAATCATTCAAATTATGCCACATAAAATTAGGCCCCGTGGCGGTCGCTCAAAAAAACGAATTAATTCACGCAATAAAAATATTCAAAACAAATCAGAAAATTCAGATACGAAAATAGAGACTACCCCCGTTAAAAACGAAATTGTTAAGGAAAATCAAGTTTCGGTAAAATCAGAATATAAATTTCATCCCTTAAATAGACGACCAAAACCAGAATCACAAATTAAATTAGATTATTTTGTGACATATAACCCAAAGCATCCACTTCACCACGGAGGCATTGTTAACCGACGAGAATTACAGAGACTCTCACTCACACTTGTTGGATCAGCTGACGTGCTTACTCATACGACTGAACAAGACCTTAGAGTTCGAAGAATAGAAACGGTCAGTTTCTCGTTTAAAAGACTAAACGGAAGAATAATTTTTTCATAAACAAATATTTTTGTGTCATGTCTAAATTACTATGACTATTCGAGTACAATATAACAGTGCACAAACTGTGACAGTACATTCAGACCACCTCTGTAATAGTTTAGAAATTCCTGTCAATAACGATACTAAACTTAACTATATTTGTGAGACACAACTTAAGACAGACTGCGCGATTCTTGGCTTCCCGTCGGGAGACTGCATAAATGACGAATATGCAGAAACCTTAGGCATTATTTTTCTACCAGTAAATGGAATCGCGATCTGTTTTTGTGTAGTGGACTCTTTCTTCTCGCAAGATTGTCACATTACAACGGGAATAATTGGCAGACAAAGCGCCATCGAATTGGGATTACTATCATTCCAAAATTTATAAATACTGTTTGAAATTTTCTTTTAAAAAAAAAAAAGATTTTTTTTTA